AAAACAAGGAAAAAAACAAAAAAGTCCTATATACAATACTATTGTCTAATATATTCTTATGTTGTGTTATTTTCTATTTTGCTTTTGTATGTGCTCTGTTGGGCCAAATTAGGCCTTGCTTCTATTACAACCTAGGTTTTGAAGTTTAACAAAAAGCAATAAATGAAATATTACTATATACAGAAATTTGTTTAAAACCATACTCTCTAATGAAGAAACATTTTATAACGTCAATAAATAATATTTTTTAGACCAAACTGTTTAAATGAAATAGAAAATCATAAACAATGGCGGAAAGAAAGTATCTCTCATTGAAATCTCTCAATAAGCAAAATAAGTTAGCTTCTTATGAAAACAAAAGTTTATCTCTTATGTAACACCAAAGTTAAAAGAAATCTGTATTCAATAAGTGAGTGGTGCTAATACTCGTTGTAACAAAAAGTGGTGAGAATACTCAATAAAATCTTAGAAAGTCAAAACTTGTGTAATCGTGGAAAAAATTAGTAAAACTCCTTAACAATTCTTAAGAGAGAATTGGACATAACTTAGGTTGAATAAACTAGTATAAAAATTTGTAGTTTATTGCTTTTATGTTCAAAATATTTTCATTTACTCGTCTTATGAAATTTAGTGTGTAAACATTTCATAATAATTATACATTTTCTTTACAAGTTATTAGATAAATAATTTAAAAAATAGTATTTATCCCTGTAGTGTTTTTCCACGTCCTTGTATAAATGTTAAATCTAAAAGTTTCAAAAAAAAAAAAACAATTACTATCATTTATAATCAATACAATACCATAAATGTTAGATTTAAAAACTCCTAAACAAAAAAATTACTATCATTTACTAAAAGAGTTGATAAACCCGACCAAAACCTATATTAAATCGGACTTGCTTACAAATTTGAACTTTTTTGTTTTTTCAATTTTATTATCTCAATAATTTCTTTTTAAATTTAAATAATTATTCATAATAAAAAATTATTTTTCAGTTTTATCATTTTAATAGCTTGTTTTTTAATTCAAATAATTACTCATTATAAATAAAATAATTATTTAATCTTTTATCATTTTATAACCATCTTTTTAAATTTTAAATAATTACTAATAATAAAACAAATTATTTAGGTAATATTACTTATAATATTTTTTTATTTCAATAACTAAAATATATTTTTTCTATAACTAAATCTATAATTATATATATATATATATATATATATATTATTTTTTTACTTTTATTCTTTTAATTATTACTTTTAAAATTTAAATAATTTATAAATATTTAAAATATGCAGGCGGGCTTCGCCCGTGTTTTTAGTAAATAAATAAATAAAATATTTAAGTTACAATTGATTAAATACTTGTAATTAATAAAAATTAACCTACCGAAAATAAAATTTTCATTTGAAAGTATAAAAATTAAACATAGTAATTTGAAGAAGAAATATACTTGCACCACTTTATTGGTGGTGGTTTAAAGAAGAATAAAAGTGGTTGCAGTTTGTTTCATAAACTTCTTCAACGAGGCATTGAGAGCAGTGAGCCAACACTGTTACCTTTTTGGAACCCACCCTCGCTTGCACTACTCTTTTCTTTTCTTTCTCCTTTTCTCCTCTCTCTCTCTCTCTCTCTCTCTCAAAAATGGTGGACCACTTCATTGTTTGCATCGATCAGATAATAGCCTCCACGGCCTGTTTTGGATCACTGGATGCGAGAACCTGTGATCATGGAGTTGATCTTATGATACCGGTTTCTGACAATGCTGGAGAAGGGTGTTGCTCTTCTCCAAACAAGTATGATGATGAAGATGTCGTTGAGTGCAGAATATGTCAGGAAGAAGATCAAGTCCAAGCCATGGAGGCACCTTGTTCTTGTAATGGCACTCTCAAGGTGGGTTTTTCATCAACTTCCTCTCTCTTACTTTCCTCAAACCCAGTACCCAAAATAACCAACTACCTCTACATGTTGGAAAAAATGTAACTTGATCAATAAAACATCAAGTGGTTGATGGGGTTGTCACGTTTCTTAAAAGTTGGAAGCTTTAGTTTTAGTGAGCAACTCGTAGAGCCATGTTGCATGAACTGGTAGTACCCTTCTGTTCTCTCCCTGTATAGATATATCCTGTATTTACTTGTCACACTACTCACTTTAAGTAGCATGTGTTTGCAGTGTCTTCACTTGTCTCAATGAAATGGCTTCTTGAATTAGTGTTTTTATGGAAAGCATTTTTGTCTTGAGTGATCTGTGTACGTTATGGTGGTGAGTTTGATGTTGACTGCCGAAGCCTAACACAACCCTCCTATTTGTCTAAAACTTTTGTCTTTTATTGAGTTGAATGATGTGGTGTGATCCATGTATTTGACCTTTCTTAGCGGATAACGATCTGTGTTTGTTGTTGTTGAAAAACATTTCAGTTATTCTCATTCATGGTATGCTGCTTTATCTCACGAATCTTTACTTTAGTTGACTTCTGTTGCATTTTGTACAAACGAAGAGGCTTAGCTTTTACTGGTTTGGGAGCTCTGTGATGTTTTGGGAATCCTTTTGGATACTAATGTCATGGTTTTGAGTTTTGACTTCAAGTTGGATTATAAACATATTAGCTCACCATTTCTTGGCACGCAGTTTGCTCATAGGAATTGTATCCAGAGATGGTGCAATAAGAAAGGAAATACAATATGTGAAATCTGTAAACAGGTTGGAGTTTTTCCCATCTCATTCGTGCTATTTTTTCTTCTTGAGTTGCCTAAATTTAAAATTGGAAGCTACGAGTTCTCTTTCACACTTTTTAGGAGTTCTCACCAAATTATTCTCTTCCACCAGTCAGAAGCAATGCAATTATGGCAATTGATATAAGGTAATTTTGAACATGTATTGGACTAACTGATTTATATATGACTTCTTTATAATTTACATCTTCTGAAAGGTTTTGCTCAAGGTCTGAGAGTTGTGTGAGCTGAGATTTTCTGTCTAAGCCTGGTATTTGGCTCTAAAATGCACCTAGGCTGCTTATTCTTCATTACTGTGTCGTAGATATGCATAGGACAATGATCTTGCATGATGTATAGATAGAATCCGGTAAATAATTTTCAATGAAGTTTGACTTTCCAATAGATGGTTAGACCAAGAAGGATTTTGGAGAGAATCATTAAAAGCGATCTATAGTAATAATATCTTGAGAAATTGGATTTTAATTTCAGCCAGTGGTGTGGTGTAATTAATCATCCATATGTAGCCAATTATTTCCCACATAATGTCTTTGTAGTTGCTGATGAAAGAAGTTGCACTGATGAATTTAGATGCATTTTAATATTTTTAAACGTTGTTTCTAGAAATTGCATCTCAACTCAACAAACATATTAGGAAGCAATTGGATAGATTTTCAATAAACATTTATATATAGAAATAAATTGACTTAAGAAAGTAATATAAATCAAACTGCTCACAAAGTTAATATCAACTTATGCCTCAACTTTTCAAAAGGTCCTTCATCTAATTTCTCTATATGCTCTCTTATGCTCCTAGTAGAAAGACACTCATCTATTTTTTGATCATTCACAATTCTGCTCTATTATTCATCCCATTATTAGATATAAAATTCAAAGTCTCGCCAGCTTCTGCACCTTCCCCTTGGATCATGTAGAACCATATGCCTGCATTTTGAAATATTTAGAATCAATTTGCTGCTTTGAATTCTGAAGAGGTGATAAGTGAATAAGTTGGTTTAAACATTAGGTATTGTCCATTGCAAGGCTAACAAGATTACCTCATTATGGTTCTAATTCAAATTTCAATTCAATCATTCAGACAACTCGAATTTGAGTATTTTTTACATAACCAAGTTATTCATCATAGAGAGTTGTATTAGTAAAATCGTATTGGCTTTTCATTTGAGACATTTTAACAATTAACCGATCTCATCCATGTCAATGAGATGTTTGTTGTGTCTCACTTTTGGTTTTCAAACTGTTTCAGTATTGTGGTTGGGTGTGTAACTCAATCTCAATCGCCAGGTACGAGGTTCATGAGTAATGTTATTAACACGTCACAAGCATGATGGGCGTTCTCCTTGAAGCCAATTTACAAGACTTTCCTTGTTCTGGCATTATCAACAAATGTTGGCCCTCTCCAATTATCTATCTACCCTCTAGCCCCTCCTTGTTTTTCTGTAAAATAGGAAGTTATTACCACTATTCCAAATGGTGGGGTCTGTATCGCTCTTATCCTTCCAAACTTCAATAGCGGCAACTAGTTAAAGAAGCGTAAAGCTTTTGCTGTTTTGTTTATGTCCCTCTGGCGCTCACCTTTTTTTCAGTGCTTCTTTTAATATCTATGATTGATGATTGATTTTGCCTCAAGTAAGATTTATATCGTTCCATATACAGGCAAGAATCTGGGAATAATGCTGATATGCATGTTGATCTAGCTTCAGCTGAGCACCAGTTGCTGCAAACTGAGTATGAAGATTATGCCATGTCACAAACCAGTAGCATTGCTTGCCTACGATCTACCACTCTCTTGGTAAGGAAACAGATATAATGTTAAGACGTGTATTGGTTCATCCTTTCCGAGAGATGATGATAATATATGTGCAGTTGTTGATAATTTTGCTTGTACGCCAAGCTTTAATGGTCACAAAGAACTCCACAACTGGACAAGATACGTCAATAATCTTTAATGTAAGTAGCATGTTCTGATAACTTTTCTTGGCAAATAAACGTGTGTTTAATTCCTCTTATTAGGAGGGTCTATGTTAGGAATAATAGAAGTGAAATCTGAGGACTGGAACCTTAGGGCTATTGTTGGAAAAAAGTAATAACCATTAATAACAATAAGTAACTAGTCCGAGTTATTGTGGATATATGGTGGTTATGAGACAGTTAAGAGAAAAGTGGTCACTTTTATGATTTGAGTAAAGGAGGAGGGAGACCAGCAAGTCTCTCAGACACCAGCTAATCAGAGAGAGAGAGAGAGAGAGAGAGAATTCCCACTATATATTCTGCACCTCTGATACTATACCATATTGGTATTGAAGCAAAGATGGATTTTCTGCTATAAAGAGTGATTTGTCATTCTATATCTGATCTAGTTCTATCAGTGATGTAGCATGCATAAGCTTTGGGATGTAAGCACACGCTCAGACTTGACACAATAGACACATTTTATGGAACTAGGTAATAATCTCAAAATGGCATAAACTAGTGAAAGTATCTATTTGTTGAAATTCCTTCATGCCAACTTATTGGGGATGAACTTTATATTTGTGCATATAACTTCTTAATAACCAGTTCAGTTGTAAATCATAGTTATTATCAAATATCATTTAAGTTTGATTGATCAAAAGAAATATACTTTTGGTAACTGAAACTGAAGAACTGAATGCTTTCCAATCAATTAGCTAAGCTGACAGATTAGCTCTTTGATTCTTACCACTTAGTATCTCAATTTTGTGTATTTTAGAAGTTTCTGTTAGGTTATTGATAAGTTCCCAAGCACTTGGAAAATCTAACCTCAAAAGCTACTAATTAAGGTGGGAAAACTAAACACTTACTCTATTGAGCATCTCATATTACTTGATGTAAGACTTAGGCACCTCATAATACCAGAGTCCTTATCATTTATGTGTGCTCAAACATGGTAATGACAAAAAGGTAGGCTAGTACATTGGTTGAAAAGTCATTTGGTGGTGTCAGCACAGGAAGGTTGCAAATTAAAAATAAAAACTCTTTTTTCTAGATTTTCCACTGCCACCTACTATTATTATGCACCACCACATTTTATTGGGTCACATGATCAAAATTCAGGTCTAGAAACCTAATCTACCGACTCTGGACTTAAATGATTTCAGTCTTTTTTTCATATCATCTGTTCTTTCTAGATTTGATGTGTACTAAATGCCAAATTGGCATGATTGATGGCAGCTTGAGATATCACTTCTTCAATTTGCTGGTGTTCTTTTGCCGTGCTATGCAATGGCACGATCCTGGTATGCGATACAAAACCGAAGACGGCAGGTATGGCTTTAGCTGATGCTATTGGAGCATAATGAATTGTGTATGTAATAAGAACAATTCTCATTTTATGATTGAGAGAATTATATATTTAGGCCACCCAATTTTATGCAGTTAGTCGATTTAGTGGCCACATTACCAATAGCTGTATTTTTAAGAAAATCAAAGTTATAATTTACTAACGTAAACTCTTCTATTTCTTAAAGGTATTTTAGTTTGCTATTCCCTTTAAGTATATTTTTTAAGAAGATCAAAGTTATAACTTTTAATGTCCTGCAGAAAAAAAAAAAATAGTGTATGTTAGAAAGTTCCATAAAGGATGCCCTAAGATGGTTATTTTCTACACACTCACTTGCTCCCCTGGATAGAAAAAAAAGAGTTGAAGTTTTGGTTCATTTCTTCATATAAGTTGTATCTTTTGCAGGTTTAAGTCATGTAACAGATGATGTTATCTTCACTGGATGTCACAAAATTTGAGCAATTATAAGAAGAAACAACATGCTTTTGCTGTTGTATATATAGACCATGCCATGGTAAAATACCACAAAGTGAAGTTATTTTTCAGAGCAATTTTCTGCACCTATTTCCTCCTGTGGAAAAGGAATATCTCAAGTGTGGTACAGTACTACAAAAACGTGAATATTAAGCATTTGGGTAGGAGTGGAGTCAACTTTTTGAGGGGCAAAAAAGCCCATAGGTCCTTTATGTTGACAGCAGCAATTTGTAATAGTATTACCTTTTTCAGCCCTTGATATTTTGGCACATCAAACTCATGCGCCAATTTACTGTTTCTCATCATCATGGATTTGTACACTAGCTTATTTGTAGCTGTAGGAATATTTATAATTTATAGTTTTGCTTGGTGTAATAAGCTTTCTGTATACTGAAACTATCAAGTTTCAATTGATAATCTGTTAGCATTATAAAAATGTCTAAAGTTACTGCTCTGCACTTTTGATAACGAGATTTGATTTAAATTTCTTAAAATTAAACTGACCCTGAAAAATTTAATGCAGTTTTTATTTATTTATTTATCTTGGAAATGGTTTGTTCCTTTTTTTCTTATAGGAATCAAATAAAGACAAGTTGTTGGTCTGAAAATGTTACTCGACTGAGTTTTGTTCACCAAGATCTCTGGTTCAAGTTTGCTGATAAAAATAATGTGATCAAGAGAGAAGAAACACATAATATGACACACTTTTGGATCATGACACCTCTGAGAATGAATAGTCTGTTGTGATGAGTAAATTGAACGATTCATTGAACTCATAATTGGGTCTTACATAGTGACATATATACTTTACTTTTCATTTGGTGGTCGGTTGGTGTTGTGTTTTTTGCTTGGCAAAGAAACAGAAGACCAGGAAAATGGAGAACAGAATCTAGTTGTTTTTCCTATCCTTATTCTATCTTTGATATCATTTGACTAAAATCAAGTGGTTTCAAAAATAAAATACACAAAGTATATCATTTTTCAAAAGTTACAACTCTTTTAAGAGATCATATATGTAGGAATTCAAGTAGATTCGGTCTTGTTAACTTTTACATCTTCAATATGTCTTTATTTTATAGATCCAACAATTTAATTATATAATACTTTGATAATTTGAATAAGATTATGAAATTATTAGTATTGAAGGGTTGTTATTGTTTGTGGGTAGGTAAACGTCCTTCTACTTCTAATCATATTCATAATCACACACACACACCTCAACGGAATAGGGTAAGAAATTTGAATTTTATATTCGTAATCATATGAATGTCGTTTTCTATTAATTTAAGTTTTAATTTGGTGTATTATTTTGGGTTTAAGATTCCTGGTTTGGTGCCATAATTCCCGTTGCCTTATAATAATCCTTAGTGTGATGGACCAACCACCAACTACAGAATATTAAGAACTACCAAAGCTTCCACTAATAATCAAATCAAAAATCAAATCAAAATTTTATCAAACCCACTTTTTCTTCATCTTTTGTTTTTTGTTTTTTCTTTTTCATTTTCCTCTTTCTTCCCACATCAATTAGTCACTTGATGGATAATCGATTTGAAATATATACATATCATATGAATAGATTTAGGTTTAACAAGACGAGTTAATGCCTTAAAATGCAACGAATTAATTAATCTTTGTTGAGAAGGGTGTTTATATTTAATATCTCATTATACTTTGTTGAATAAGATTGTTTGGAGTAAGAAATTAAAAAAAAATGAAGATTAGTGTAATTATAATCACATTTTCTTTTCCTGAATTTTGCTGAATTGAATGGTACATATATTTTACGAGTGTTTCCTTCTTAAGTAATTTGAAAGCTTCTATGTTATTATGTAACTTAAATAGAAAGTGATGACTTAATATTCTTCATCTCACAAATACTTTCTCTATTTCAAAATTATTTATTTTCTAATTAAAAATAGTAATAAGTGAATTACTTATTAAAATAGTTTTACTAAATATTTTTAGTCCCTATAAATATGTTACATGTAACTATAAGGTGATAAACGCTTATGGTTGGAAAATTGATAAATTGATGTACCACTTGTTTAGTTTCACGTTTTTTCTATCATGTGTATATTTGACAAGAAAATCTAAATTATAAATTATTTCGTTTATTTAAGACGTGATTTTATGCATTCCTATCATTTATTTGGGGCAAAATTAGAATAAATTTTTTAATACGTCATGAAAAACTAAAAGCATTGGTGATGCAACTTGTTTTTAATGATTGAACAAGAGTGATTTAAGATGGATATCAAAGTAGGACTCAGAATTTTTTTTCCCGAATTACAAAGAAATAGTTATTATAATAAGTATTAAACTTTAAGCCATGCTTAAATGTTTTTATTTTTAGCTATTTATTTAAAAACTTATAATTTCTCAAAAAATATATTCTCTAAACTCTCAACAATTCTAAAATATTTCATCTTAACCATTTTTAACTTGTCAAAATTTTGTTTGAAGTAACTTTTTCCTTTATTCTATATCTTTTCTATATTTTTTTTCTCATTTCACTTGTAAATATTTTATGCAAATGTTTGTTTTCATTGATTATTGATTACACAGATGAGAAAAGTTCGTGAACTTTGTAGCAGTTCTAATATGAATATTCATATTAAATTAATTATTTTCATAAATATGATTTATTTTTTCAATTAATTTTAGAGTCATTGTATGAATTTTGATAATGTAATTTCATAAAATTTTTAATAATTTATTATAGCAATTACTCTATGATGAAAAGGGTTTTTATAAATTTCACATATGTTATCACTAAAAAAAAAAACGGATATACCAACTATCATTGTCGATCAAAAATTACAAAAATTCGTCAATATAAGTGTTGTTGGGTAAGATTTATCGATGAATATCGCTCCTCGATGATTACCGAATGATATATTCATCAATAATTACTAAGAGAAGATATATGTTAGTAATGACTGACTCAGGTACGGCTGTCAAGCTCGGACTATCGAGTTAGCCAAACTCATCCTGTTGAGTTGTCAGAATTCATCCATAACTAAGCGCCTTTATCGAGGTAATACACAACTTCCACTACTTCCACTATTCATTCTTCATCGTATCTATAAAAAACAGTTACGACGAAGAACCCCATAAAATTCAACATCAAAAAGAGAAACTTCTCTAACTCTCACCATAATCACTGGTTTAAAAGCTCTCTACTCTCTCTGTTGTAGTCCTTCCCAACCTTCAACTGCACGACAAACCTTGTCATGCAGCTTGCAAAAGGATGTTTGTGACAGTGCTATATTAACTACAAAAAAATCACCAAAATAACAATAATACATGGTCGAGCATACAATTGGTAGGGCGAGCTTAAAATAGGTATGGATGAGGCTTAAAAATTGTAGGGATAACCTTAAAATAGATAGTGTCAAGTTTAAATGGATGACATTGTATGCTCTAAAGTCTCAACATGAACTCCAACATCAATACTTACAATTGTAGATCATGTGAATTCAATAGTGCTAACACATTCAAAATCTCGTCGTTCGATTCGGTCTCGTCCATTAGAAGCGACCTAATATACCTTATCAGAGAGAACAACACTCATCGATTTCATAAAGCCCATCAACACCAGAGCAAGCAACAACACTGCGACAGCAAGACTGGTACTACTCGAGAACTCAATCGCACACTTTTCATTAGGAGAACTGTTGATAGGGTGATAACAGTTGAAAAACTGTTATTTTCATGCTTAAAGTTGAATATAAAAGCAACCTTTAGACTTAGAAACTAGCTTGAAATCATGCTTTTGTTTAATATTTTCAGAGAAATAAGAGAGCTGGACAGGTTTATGCTTGATTTTAAGTGTTTTTGTGCAGGTTTTGGAGGTGTGAATTTGGTGAAAGAAAGTAGAAGAATAAGAGAGAGGACATTAGAAAAGACAAGAAAGAGTGCAAAAAAGGAGAAGTCGAAGGCACACTCAGGGCAAACACCGCTTGAGCGGCACTCAAGAGGTGACGTTGGAACCGTGGGGGCAAAATGGCCGCTGAGAAGAAGAAGAAGAAAGAAGACGCGCAATCACCGCTGAGCGGTTAAATACCGCTGTAGCGGCACTTTTTGGGCTTGGACTTGTGTAATCTTTTGTAACTCTAGATTAGTATATAAGGGCTTGCAGTTCTATCGTTAGGATCTTTGGAGAAGAAGAGAAAGAAACGAGGCAAACACTCTCTCTTTCACCCTTGGAAGGAGGATCTGGATGCTCAAGGCTACCTCTTCACCTTTATTGGTTATTCTTTCATACTTTCATTGTAATTCATCTAGGTTCACCATGAATATGGTGAAACTAAACCTTGTATGTTTGTTGGGGAGTCAAAGGTAATCTCTTGAAGCTATCATATATGGATTTGTTGAGTACATCTTTTGAATTAAGACATATGCTTTCTTTCATCATTGTTAGGGTTTTTTTTCCTCTTTGCTCAATGCTTGCATTGTTTTAAACTCATTTAATGCATGATTATGGTTGTGGTGTTGATACGACACCGATAGGGGAAATCTAGATCAGGGGAATTTCTCCCAATATTTTATGACACAATATTATATTGGTTGCCTTAAGCTCCTGACACTCATGAACTAATCATTAGGAATGCTAGGAATTGTATGAACTATATGATTAGGGAGAAGCCATCTAGAATGGTTACATTAGAAGTGGCATTTAACAATGATGATTTGAATGTTGAATTCCTAAAATATATGAGAGTGGATGAGGATGAAATTGACCCCCAACAACATATTCATTCATATTTCCTTGAAAGTGTTTATCTTTGTCTTTGTCATTGATCAATTCATTGCATACATATTAATTTTCGTCTTGCATATTAAACTTCAATTATTGTGTTCTTACAGTCTTAGCTAATCAACAAATCACATAATAAAATAGGCCTGAGTGAGTCCTTTGGGAAGAGAACGATAATTGGTCTTACCAAGTTTATTACTTGAAACGATTCGGTCATACTTGCCGATTGTGAAACAAGTTTGTGACATCATATTTTGGTGCTTACAAATTTGTCCATCATAGGGGCTTAGCACTATGATAGTTGAAACCAATCCCTGTGACCTTGGTTTTTGATGATGACAACACATTG